ATCGTTTTCGGTACGTGTTACCGTTTAAATAGAAATCATCCTGCGAGGCAGTCGATTCGTTACCTATCGATCGGAAACAAATACAGGGTGTCCTAAAAGTCCTGCATCGGAAACTTTCAGGTGCAGTCTGAAGCTTTTACGCAATGCTTGCTGGGTAAGATTGATATATGGATGTATTTATGCTAAAACGGACTATGTCTCACGCAAACCCTATGCACATTGTTCCTTTCAGCATAAATACGTCCATATATTATCATACATCGACGGTGAAACTCCCAAATCACGTACCTCGTTTGCGTTGTTTAAAAATCCCCGCTCCTAATTAATTTTTTTCAAGGTGAAAGAAAATTACAAGTAAGATTTACGTATTTTTTTATAAACTTTCTGCGAGCAAAAACGAGGGGGAAAAAATGGTGAACAGAATTGTATAAAAGGAAAAGTTGCAGCCCATAAAAATTGAAGGTATAGTTTTTTGATTTTTACGTAAATTTTACGATTTCTTTTAATTAAAATAATACTATATTTTCTTTTTTTTAAAAAAAAAAGAATTCCCCAAAAGGGTTTTCTAAAACGAGTATTTTAAGAGTTTTTTTACTTAAAATTTACAAGTTTTTTTAAAATTTTTTAACAACTTTTTGTAGAATTTTTTAAAGAACCATTGCAACTAGGGGATAAGTATGTCTAATACACACTCTCAAGAACATCGTGTCAAAATTTTCGGAGTTAAAAAAGTTAAAAGCCTTCATAATGAACAAGGTCAGAAGCTGGCAACAGAGTTTCCGCGTTTCCGCTCCATCTTTGCTGCGTTTTGCTCGAAATTGCGGATTTTTGACCTTTAACTCTAAAATGATCTTGGGAGGTGAATTTTTGGATTTTGTGGGTCTTTTTTCCGGCATAAATGGTGCGGGTGGGAACCCGAGAACTCTTTATTCTAATATGCATCATATATATGAGCTCCAAGACCTCCTAAATTTGCATACCTGGTAACGTTTAGTTCCAGCGTTCTACCGGGCCGATTTTCATGATTTTTGCGGTTATCGACAAGCAATTGTCTCTAAATGAGCCCGCTCTATTCAGATTTTGAAAATATGACCCAGGTTTTTTTACATTACGCGGTAAAGTTGCGAATTCTCCCATTTAAACAATGTAAATTTTTATTTTTTGTCATAGTTCGTTTGAGCGTTCTACTGGGCCGATTTCCATAATTTTTGCGGTTATCGACAGGCGATAGTCCCTAAATGAGCCCGCTGTAATTAAATCTTGGAAATTTGACCCAGATTTTTTATAATTGAATATACCTGGGAGCTTGGAAAGGACGCAAAATTTGAAACTCCCGCCATTTTTCGTTGGCGGGAATCTCAATTTTGCGGAAAATTAAACTAAGCGGGAAATTGTGAATGTTGGTCTGTTAGTAGGGTCTAGGGTATAAGGTAAACGAATCAAAATTGTCTTCCTTTACCACAGACTATCCAAAAGTAACGAAACGTTCCGTTCCATTCATTCCGTTTCGTTTCAGTCTTGGCCTGAAGTTGAAAATAAATGGCGGCTTTCTAATTTGATTCTTATTGGTCCAATCTTCCCCTGCCAGAGGAAGATTGGACAAATGAGAGTTGGGTATGAAAATGCTTTAATTTTTTTTCGTCGTTCTTTTGTCGAAGCGGGCCTAAGAGAGGGCGAGGCGCCCTTTGGGGGTTGGGCCGCGTAGCGGCCAGGGACCATAGCCTCCTAGTTGTCCTATATCGGTCTAAAGAATTGATCCTTTAAGTATCCCCCATGAGATTTGGGACACCCTGTATACCCGGGAGATCTCGCACTATCCAAAGCCCTAGTTACACGCTTGAACTGGCTTCCAAGAGAACGATCGGACTCTCAGTCAACAACCTCGAACATGGTGAAGAAAATCGCCGTGAAGAAAGTTATACATATTTTTCCTCACAATTTTCAGAAACTTCAGATTAATTTACGAACAAAACTTTCTGAAAAATCGAAAGAAAAATATTTGCAAATTTTTTCGAAAATTCGTGCGATTAGCCAAAAAAAATTGGGCAACGTCTGAAGGCCCATACGGCGTTCTTCCTTACCACGGCAGTATGTGAGTATACCTCAACAGAGTATAGACAGAGCATGTTTTAATGTGCGAGCCACTCTTGGTTGATTGGGTTATCAGTTTTTTCAGCATTTACTGGGATTTATGTGGATCAATATATATAAGCGAGAGGAATTCATATTATTCAAAAAACGGCATTTGATTCAACATTTGAAAAGATTCTATATGAGCGGTCAAAAATCAATTATTAACGCCGGATCTCAAGTAGCATTTTTCAACGGAAAAATTGGGATAAATTGAAATTTTATCGGCGATAAAATCGCTGGGGGGATCATCAACATCTGAGCGATTATCCTCGATCTTATCGGGATAAAATTGCAATTTTATCGCTATCAGCAATTTATCGCGATATTTTCGAAATAAAAATCGCGATTAATGGCGATTGAATCTCGATTTTATCGACGAAAATTGATCTCGATTTTATCGGACCAAGAATTGCGAGATGTGTAGCGATTTAATCGCCATATATCGCAATTTTTAATGCGATAATATCTCGATATATTATATGCCACCGATATAATCGCGATAACCAACCGATAAAAACCCTATTTATAGCAATCACTGCTACTTGGGATGTAAACCTAGGTAGTGTTGGTCATTTTTACTTTAAGAATCACACTCCTTTCGGGTTTAAAACTTTCCCTTAATTGATGAAGACTAATCGAACCGTTCGCTTTTTTCCTCAAAGAATCTCAAAATTTTTCAGAAATGTATAGTTGAGGTCATTGGCAATCACTCAGATGAGTTGCTATGGTCGTGATCTTTAAGCCATGGTCAAGTTTCCGTGCGACACCCAACGCACAGGGGATCGAGTCAATTAGGGGGGACGGAATGAAATTTTTGATTAAAACTGCGTATTTTCATGTTTATTTCGTCATATTTTAAAGTTTAATGGGTGCTACTGGAAGAAAATTTCTCGGGGAGACCAATGGAACCACTTTTAAAAGCTCAAAATTTTGTAGAAACGGAGTTACAAGCGTTTAAAGTTTCCAAATTTTGTCCGATCTGTCCTATTGACTCGATCCGCTGTGCGACGTAGGCTTGGAGACTTAAACGCGCGGGTAGGAAAAAATAACCCGCGAATCCTTTTGGCACGCTTTCAACAACGATGAGTTAAATCATCCTCACAGTCACAGTCGACTCAGATTGTAGGAGCTTAACAAAAACCTAAATTTATGTCACTTAAATCTGTTATACTCTCCAATTTTTAACCCATTCGTTTATATGTTGTTGCTTCTCTCCGTTGGAAAACTGATCCTTGATTTGTTGTGAATTTGTTTTCTTCACCTTATTTGGCACATCCTCCTTCTTCGAACATTTTAAGGAATAAGTACAGACTTAAATACTATGAAAATGAATAAAAATTGCGAGATACGAATATGCTAAAACGCGATTTTAGATCGAAACTCTTGGTAGGTACTCGCGCTTTCCTCCGGAAACGAGTGATGGACAACCCATTGCTTTATTTTATTTTATTTTATTTTATTTTTTTTACTGTTGAAAGTTTTCAAGAAATTTTGACGTCCATGGTGAGCGGAAGCTTATTTGAACATATTTAAGGATAATAAGGGGTGAAATAAATCTATTGTATTCCTCTGGGACTTACACTTCAAGTACATTAACTTACGGAAAAATTTCGTAAGAAACACGATACGATTTTCTCCGAAACGAACTTCTAGGCCCATAAAAGCTCTTAAAGTTGAAATCATAATGGAGCAGATAGCTCATACCATATGCTGAGAGTCCACCTCTATATCTAGTCAAACTCTCTATGCACGGTTAGGAAGAAACTACATTAGCAGCGTTAGGAGTCCCCGAACAAAAGTGGCAATCTTGCTACTGTCTTTGCTCCCCATCTGTACAGAGAGTTTGACTAGATGAGAGTGGATAGGGTAAGCGAATTCCTCCGCGGCCTCATTTTTAGGAGCTTTTTTAAACTTGGAAGCTCGCCTCAGAGAAAACCAATGGCACCATCGTGTTCCTCGCAAAATTTCACATCAGCTGTTGTATCGGTACCTATACTTAAATGGAACTGTGGAAGGGAACCTGGCCCCTCTCAAGAAATGAGAGGAACTTTTGCCAAAAGTACGTGACACATCTTTAATTAAAATTGTAATTGGGTCAATTTTTCGGTCCGATTAGTTAAAAATTGCTCCGGTATGAATCGACTAAATTTTTCAACATTGTCCAAAGGAGAGACCCACCGGACCCCCATTGAAGGCAGGGAATCTCTACGGACCACCTTTGTTAGAGTGTCACTTGGTGTCCCCCCCCCCCACCGATTAGAAGCCGTTCTGGCCTCCACAACAAAATCCTTATCTCTCTTGTGCTTGGGTCGCAAATTCTTGAGGCACATGCAAGAACCCTATTGTCTAACCCCCGTCAGTGAGCTTTGATGAGTCATAACATACCAAACACATGGTCTCCACATGAAGACTTTCCACCCCTACCCGCCCTCTTTCAGTCAGTCCATTCCTTCTTCCTTGCAAACTGCGGCATTACCTGAGGTGTTAACAACTAAAAAAAGCGACTTCGTGTTAGGTGAGATATCCGATTTTTCCCCTGAAACGAAGGAATTTCACACTTTAACAGTGGTTTAAAGTTTGAAGGCTTTGAAATCCGTGTGGGAATGCACCGATGGGCACCAAATAAGATCGCAGAGAAACAATCGAGATGGCAACAGGTGTTTGAGCAAGGTCAGAGATTGAGTAATCCATAACAATGATGACCATTATGAATTAATATGTGCGTAGGCACCAGGCGAGGGAGACAGAACGACGAAAAGGCCTTTCCGAGTGAGGAATTCGACAAGGATGGAATCTTGAATGCTATCCATCGAATTGATATCTTGTTGAGCGATCGAGTAAATCGAGAAGTTGACAAAACCACTTACCGTTATTAGATCAGCGACGCAATCGCGTTCGAATGAAAGATCCGGAGAGTCGTTCCGCTTTGAGAGGATATTGCCTCGTTTGAATTCGGATACATTCGTCTGGATCCGAAATCGTCGAACACTCGTAGAGGGAACCACTGGAGATGAAAACACACAACTATGGCAGATAGGCACTGAGTCAGTCGTGTGACATAATGTCACTGAGAATTCACGTGAATCCAGGGAATTGGGAGCATACGGCATGGAGGATCGTCGCGATGGAGCCGTGCACCTCAGCTGAAAGAACTGTTATCATTTTGCGCGTGAGATGTGCCGCATCCTAAGGGTCAAACACCCGGACTGAATGGCGAAAAAAACACGGAATGCACAAGGTGTATGCATCAGTGAAGACGCAACGAGATGGAGCAGATGAACTGGACTGCTATGGCTATGAGCTAAGAGCGCGCTACCTGGTTTGATGTTACGCCCAGCTGACGTACTCAGGTGGGCGGCCGAGGGGGGACAGCGATGGTTTCAGCCCCCCTTCTCCCCCCTCCCCCCGGTACCCCGTCGTGGCCCCCACCGTGCGCTGCCTCTCCCATCATGATCCCTTCTACAAAAGCTATGGAATGGACCGCAAACGCTATTATTTCGGTCCGTGCAACAGCGCACCGCGAGTACCGCGACTGCGAAGTCTTGTATAGATGAAGCCACGCTTCCACAAGCAGCGCGCGACGGAGCCGGCGCGGCGAGGCGGCGAGGCGGCGCGACATAATGCAACAAAGTTCCAATTGCTTGATTCATCGATGCGTCAACTTTTTGGAATGATCGGAGATTCAGTGATCGATTAACAATCGAGTTTAATCCAAATTGATCGATTATTTGACCGATTGATGTGCAAATTTTCAGAATAACGACATCTTTACTCTGGGAGAGCCACCGAGGTTTCCAGGTGTAAATCAGCATTTGTGCTGAGTAAGAGAATCGAAAAATCGTGCGTGCTGAACATTTTTGAGGATGATTCAGTTAAGGGCACAATGATTTCCTTATTTTCTTCTGAAACCGTGTTTTACCGTAAGATACTAGCACCTTAAGGCTTTTGAATTGGCATTTTTAGAAGTTTAGTGTTTTTTTTTTTTTTTTTTTTTTTTTTTTTTAAGTAAAAAAGTACCTCGGCACTGACAAGGATATTGAGGTTTTAATTTCTGGTTACTCGATATTATGAAATTATGAAATCGATTAATACAATCGATTTAATAGGAATTCTAACAACCGATTCAACATTTCATAGAAATTCTGATAATCGATGTATCGATTAATTATTTCATACTCGAAAAACTCTAGTATGCAAGATTTAAATATTTTTCGTTGCGACAAAAGTTACTTGTTCAATCTTATTATACCTACGTGGCAACAAATAGATTTGAAATCATTGCATTCGGTGGTGTGGCTAACTTCGCGTCGCTCGCTGCTTGTATGACCGCAGCTGCAATGCGCATGACCGACTCACATCGGTCCGCACTTCCGGAGATCAGCCGCTATAAATGTACATTGTACATGTTCTCGGTGTCAGGTGTAGAATATCAATGGTCCAACTACAGTCCTATGGGACGTATTTAAATCAACAGGACCTATTTCCGCTCTGATTTGAGCCCTGAGACCCATTAGAATACATGCATGACAGGGCTCATCTCACAATGGATAGAGGTCATTTTGATTTAAACGCGTCCATACTAGAGACTATATAGGCAGAGTAGCATCACACTTCCCCATGGCGGGCCTGCGGGCCTTCCTTATCGAGATTTCACATCGAGCGCGTTGGATGTATCAACAGCTTTCCAAAGTAATTATAAAATTAGCGCATTAAATTTATATTGGAGTCTATCAATTTAAACTCGCCGCTAGCAAGAAAATAAGAATGAACAATGAACATGGGTCCAATTTTCGGGCCATTGACGACAGTAAATACAAAATCAGCCCCCAAGTTTGCTGGACCCAAGTGTACTTCTGCCGTGCTAATGAAGAACGCCGTATGAACCTTCAGGCGTTGCCAAATTTCCTGTGATAATACACAAATTTCCTGGTAAACTTATAGATATGTTCCCTCCAATTTTTTAGAGAATTTACTTCGCAATTTCACCTAAAGTTCCCAAAGATTTCAAGGAAAAATATTCACAACTCTCCTCAAAAATGAACATTTTATCGGAGGAAATTTGGCAACTCTCAAATGTTCATATGGTGTTTTTCCTTAGCACGGCAGACTTTTGGATATCTCGATGTTGGTAGAATCCGTTGAGTATTTTCAACTCGTTTGGTTCACACAAATCAATGATGCGCGCACCGTTGTCATTCACCGCCTCCTCCCCAAAAGGTCCAACGACTTTATAGAACCATTCCTTCGTCCGATTCTACCATCCTAATCTCCCATAAAAGGATACTGACCTCCCTTGTCCTTCCATAACCCTCAGACCCTCGTCGTTAAGTCGCTCAAATAACTGATTCTTCAGATTGACGGGAGCATCATTATTCACAACATGTACTCCTAACAGGGCCTTTTTATGACCATGCACAGTAAGATGCATTCTGATGATCCGCTGGTCTATACTGCTTCCCAAAAAGTTATAAACGGACGCAAACTTTTCCGAATAAGTTTGGCGACTCCTTGCTGTGTGCCTTGATCTTTACTGACACCACTATAGAACAGATCATAGCAATTCATAGCATGGTGCTAGGTCATTTTTCCTAAATTTTTTTTTCCTACATCAGGTTTTCCTATTACTTTTTTCCTACTCGTGTTTTGTCCTATTACAGTAAGTCCTACGAGTGAGATGTCCCACTGGCTTTTTTCCTAAGGGTGTTTGTCCTAATAATTCAATAATAATTGAAACGTAAACATGAGTAGAGTAGAGGGAAATTTTTCAGAAAGAGTAAAGTTTTCTCAGCGAGCCGAATATAAGTGCGTGAACAGGAGACATTACAAGCTGAACCTTCTATACCCTCAATATAAGGAGGAGGATGAAGCTCCACTACTTACGGGCATGCGGCCGCAATTTTAACTTGTGAGGTACCTATGTTGTTTTTTTACTTTCTCGATCCCCTAGTTTAAAATTGAATTTCGGACAAATGCCCCTAGGAAAAAAGCCAGTAGGACATCTCACTCGTAGGAGTAACTGTGATGGAACAAAAAACGAGTATAGGAAAAAAGTATTAGGAAAAATTGCAATAGGAAAAAATTTTTTAGGAAAAATGACTTGCCACCGATAGCATCCTAAGTTTTCTTATCCTGTGCATTTCTTTTTAATTTCTGTCAACACGGCCATACTTCTACATTATACTTTTTTACCTTCCGATACAACCTCTAGAGGTTGTATCGGAAGGTAAAATACTGGCAGCTGCCAGTATATTAGAAATACCCTGTACATTCCATGCCCCAAAAACCATAGCCCGGTGTCGTAGTTTTTATCGTAAAATCCGTATTTTTCCATGTTCACCTAGGCTGTTTACGTTTAGGCTTTTTAACAGTAAGTTTTTTCCGGGTATTGGGGAGTTAGTCTGATGCACCAACCCGCAACCTGGAGGACCAGCCTTTGATTTTGGAGTACCGTCTCCTGGACAGGCTGATTTCACCACAGCTATGAGCTCTGTCTGCACCTCTGATGGGTGATTCCAGAGACAATTATTTGCCCTTACATCTCCCGGTTATCCCTGACTTTTTAAAATTTCCTGACATTTTCCGGTTTTCCCGGTATTCCCTATACCTGTTGGGACCATGACCATTTATTGAAGCTGCTAGAGGCCTGGATACGCGCTCAAATGTCTATCAATTTCCGATCAAATGGTGACTGGTGCGCACCATCTACCATCAAATTTTTGCGGCCTGCAAAAATTTGACCGCCATTTTTGTCATCATTTTGATCGGAAGTTGACGGAAATTTGAGCGAGTATCGAGGACTTAGCGGATTTCACTAGGCCTCAAAAAATCGAAAAGTGACCTGATGAATGTTTACCACGGCCGGATTTACCTACTTGCCGCCCAGGCCAGGGGCCGCCTGTATTTTGCCGCCCCCTTCTCATTCGTTTTGAAACATTGATATAAACCATCAAATGAACGTACTAGAGGGGGAGGGATACATAAGACGTGTTTACTCGTGTTGGGCACATTTTTTGCCAAAGCCTTGTCAACACTAGCAAAAGTTAACGGAACTTTGCGCGAAAGTTAAGTTCCGTAAACCCATCTCTGTGTGGACAAGGCCTTTCATTTAGGAGAAATGAACAAAAACATATTATGAAAGAATAAACATGAATGCGGTTTAATAATTTTCATTTCTGTCATCGCGCCGACCGCACTGTATTTGGCGCAATACGTGAAGTATCCCTACAGTCTTGTAGGCGCTATGCATTTCACGCCGACAGCTGCTAACCGCACTGTTTTTGACGCAATGCGTGAAGTATTCATGGAGTCTTGTAGGCGCTAATATGTGTTTCATGCTGACCGGCGCGTGCCGAGGGCTCCTCCTTTTTATCTGAAGTCTTCGTCATCATTGCCCTTTGCGCCGTGCCGCTCCAGACCAAATTGCGTAATTGGTTTCTCTCTCAACTAAACTAATGAAAGGTGCTGTCTCTTGTTTCACTGAAAGACGAACAAATTAGAAATTACTATACTTTAACTCTCAGGAAATGAGAGATTTTGTCGCCTTTTCTTGTTCGTAATTTTTTTCTGAATCCAATTTTTTTTTTTTTGATACCTACATTTGAAAAAATTGCAAAATTTGCCGCCATGGGCCGCGGCCCATATGGCCACCCCCTAAATCCGGCCCTGATGTTTACAACTTCGACAGGAGCAGAGCCCCGAGCTAGTAGTGAATGACTGCACAAAGAAACAGAAAGAAAACAGGAATGCAGCGCCTATCCGTAAACGAAGCTTTTCTTATTTTTTTTTTTAAAAAAAAAACCAAAAAAACTAGAGTGATTTCAAGAGCCTGGATCTGATCGAATTTGGCAAATCCGCAGACACATCTCTGCAATCGAAAACAGTGATTCATAAGAATTAGCCTGATAGATTTCCAGATCTCACTGATACTTACAAGAACTAGAATTATTCTCTTAAATACATAGATGATAAAAAAAGGCTAATTTTTGGGGTGATTTTACAAAGTTTCTCAGGGCATACGCGACGGTGGCAGCTTGAAAAGTACGTCATCTTTGGTGTCGATTCTGGAGAGTTTACAAAGCTGTTTTCCTTCCATTTAAATGTAGGTAAAACGATCAATTCTCAGTGGGGCAACGTATCTCGCCTAAACCAATATTTTAATAGATTTAAGTGGAAGAAAAAACAGTATTGCCAACTTACAAAATCGTCACTGTTGATAGGATTCAAGTAAGATACGGTGTGACTTTCATGACAGTGATCGCGAACAGCAATGCGAGAGCGAGACTGCGTGGGTGCAACCTGCAACGTCAACTCCACTTGCATG